GAGAGAGAGAGAGAGAGAGAGAGAGAGAGAGAGAGAGCTACCTACTACGAGGCGAAGCGAAACGAAACAAGCCGCCTAACCTCGGATTCTCGCAGTGTTCCCCGAGCGTGTTTGATTCCTCTATCTATCTCGCGGGCCCTTCCTTCCTTCTTCACGTCCTTCACGGGACCCACAGGGTCTCCCGTTCCCGTCCTTCTTTCGCCCGGTGGCATCGTCCGCGCGTCTAGAGGCTGAAGCGCCTCTCGCTGATGCGGAGCACTGACCCGCAAACTGGTTCCTCCATTACACCAGGCTTTCTTCCCCCTCCTCCGCCCCCTTCTCGCCACTCCACCCCCCTTTTCTCTCACTCCATCTTTTCTTCTTTCTCTCTATCTCCCGCTTCGTACATGTCCTCCCCCTTCTCCCCTTTATTTCTTCTTTCTCTTCCCCTTCGTGCGCTCGCACGCGCGCACGAGTGAGTGAATGCGTGCGTACGTGTATATCTTCCTCCTCCCTCTCTCTCTCTCTCTCTCTCTCTCTCTCTCCCTCTCTCTCTCTCTCTCTCTCTCTCTCTCTCTCTCTCTCTCTCTCTCTCTCTCTCTTTACGTTTCAGCGTGTCCCTTTTACTTAGCTTCTCCGCATCCATATCAGACTTCGGCAACCCCTTTTCTTCCCCCTGCCTCTGCAGAATGATCGGCCTGCGAGAGAGTCAGAGATTCGGCGAGAGAGCTGAGGCGCGCCGAAGCGCTTCGTGTCCTGGCACCGTTGCTCAACGTGCCCCGGTGATCTTCCATCGAAATCTAGCTAATCTCGTGTCATCTAATCAACGACGGCGACGAGTTGTCTCGCAAATTCGCCCGTTCGAGAATACACGATCGTTATCCCGACGTACGGAAGCGCGAATCGCGAAATAGATCAGTCGATGGAAACTTCCAGGATCAGGATCAAATTCGCACGCTTCCTGCGTCAAGCCAGAGTTCCCTGTCTGAACCATCTCGGCCAGCTTCTTCATTTCGAAAGGAATAACCAGTCGGATCGGTTTGCAGTACACACCAAACCCCGCCTGCAGTGATTGCAGCGCTTTCGCAAAAGCGCCCGCTCGGTTTTGACGTTAATGAAGTTTTAGAGCCCCGCTAAGCTCGCGTTTCTCGCGCGCTCGCGGCGATTCGCCGCCGCGTGCAAACGCTTGAATTAACGCTGAATTAATTCGCACTTTATCGTCTGTCCGAAGGCGGCCGGTGCGCGATCGCTTTATGCATTTCTACGAGTAATCGGCAACGTCGACGAGACTAATTTAATTGGCATTGTCGGCATAATTGACGATCGTCGTCGAGATTGGTTAGCTGCAGCTCCGATACCGCCGCCGAGAGTGTGAGCTTTCGCCCGTCTGAGACAATTCGACGATTCGCGACGTGAAAAAAGAATCAATAACAACGACACACTGGCTTCGTCGAGATGCATCGAGAGAGAGAGAGAGAGAGAGAGAGAGAGAGAGAGAGAGAGAGAGAGAGAGAGAGAGAATACGCTCTTGCAACAATCTCCGATTCGTGTCGAGGGAAGTCGAGATATCCAAAGGAACGGTCAAGACTGACGTAAACTTTTTACTTTGAAAGATTGTCTGTGAGCGCGGCTCACACGATGTTACCTTCTTTTACCGCGGTATTGAAAGCAAAAACGAAGAGAGAGGGAGAGGGAGGAGAGGCAGGAGAGGGGGGGGAGAGGGAAAGATTGCGGCTGTGTTGCACCAAAGCGGCGTAAAATTGCAGCGCGTACAGATCAAACACCGAGATAGTTTCGTTTCGTTTCGTTTTGCACGATTCACGAAGCCGTCCGCTACGTCGCGAAGCGCTAAATCGACGAACGACCGCGGCAGCGGCAGCGGCAGCGGCGGCGGCGGCGGCGGCTGCAGCGGCGGCTGCAGCGGCGGCAGCCGCGATGCCCGCAACGGCAAATTGCGATGTCGTAAATTATACCCCTTGCGAAGTCACAAATTACAAATTGCACACTGAGATATTACAATGTTGCAACTTGCTGAATGATAAAGGCAATTCTCAAACCGCAAGAAGGTCGTAAACAACGCATGGTTAATCCATCTGTCGGATGGAACTTTTACAGTATAACATTGTAATAAAAGAACACCGTTTCGTTCAATCTCGCAGTCGTTAAATCAATTTCCCCCGGTTAATAATACACTCCGCAAAATGAAAAATGCGGATTTGTGCAATTCGGACGACAAATCACGGTACATTCCTGCACCATGACGATCGTCGATCTTTCGTCTCTCTTTTTCTCTTGATGCATGGCTGATGTGGCACAAACGGGAGATAGAGATGGATAGATAGAGAGAGAGAGAGAGAGAGAGAGAGAGAGAGAGAGAGAGAGAGAGCGCTACTGATATCACAGAAAAAAATATAACGAGCGAATGTGTCGGGGAACATAATCCGTAAGGAAAGCAACAATAAAAAAGAAAGAAGCGTAATATCCACGCGAGCCAGAAATATCGTCGTGCCGCGCGCGCGCGTTTCTCGCAACGCGTCTCGAGAATTTCGTTCTCTCGCGAGCCTCTCGTCGACGAAATAAACAGGATATGAACTTATTAATTTCCTCGACTTTCTCTCGCGCGCTAACGCATCGAGAGAGCTCGTCGCGTCTCGGAGCTAGCCCGGCCGGCGGGTCTCGGAAGAGAAAAAGCTGGGAGGACGTGCTTACCCGTCGCCGAATGAATTTGGAGCAACAGTCCGACCAGAGACACCAGGAGGAAGGTTCTGTACGGGGATGCCGTGATGTCCTGTCGCGCGGCCGTCATCTCAGGCGGCCCGCGCCAGGTGCTCCCTCGACGTGCCGCTATCCCTGCGGTGAGGCTCACCTCTGCTCCCTCGACTTCCGTCTTCGTTCCCGCCAGGTCTACGACGCGCTTCACTCCACCTCGTGCTTCACATCTCATCCACCCTGATCTTCCGGTCGCCGTACTTCTCGCGTCTCGGAATCTCGGCGGTGTCTCTCAGCGAGCGGACAGGAAGCAAGACCGTGGACCGTCGCGATATCGGACGCTGGTCACTGTTATGCCTGATCGATCGTGGTACTCATATCACTATCGGATTCTCCCTGCTCTCTTACTAGCCGCGCGAGCTCGCCCTCGGCAAAAAACGTGATGCTCTTTTCTCAGAGTCTGAAAGTGCAAATCGTCTTTTCGCGCCGAGCTCGAGATGATGCTTTCTGCTCTCGGATAGAAATCGGAGCCAGAGTCTGCTCACGCTGCTGTCATCGTGACTCGGAACGCGCGTGCCCGTTCGCCGCAAGTACGAAGACTGTCATCGTTAGCGCGGAATTTTTATATCTCTGAGAGAGAGAGAGAGAGAGAGAGAGAGAGAGAGAGAGAGAGACAGAGAGAGAAAGAGACAGAGAGAGAGAGAGAGAGAGAGAGAGAGAGAGAAACACAGAGAGAGAGAGAGAGAGAGAGAGAGACGCACCTAGCCGCGAATATTACGATCGATCGCGATGTCATGGATCACACTGTGCTGTGCCGACTCGTCCCGAACAAGTGCCATTTGCGTACGTGCTTACATACGTATCGTTACTTTCCTTTGTTTTGATAACATCAACGTGCAACGATATCGCCGCGCAATCGCCGCGCCGTTACCGAGAGAACAGAGCACACACAAAAACGTTTCTATATCTCAAGCGGGAAAAATCTCAGCTATCGCTCCACCTTCGGCGACACGTCGTCACGATCGCCGTCACGTGCGAGTACCGCGACGAATCACTGTACGAACGTCTGTGACATTGCGTTATCCTCTCGTGATACGGATCGAATGTTGGCCTTTTCTCGATCAATGCGCGAGTATGTGTGTAAGTGTGTGTCAACGATCCCTACGCGCGTCTACTCCGCGTCCATCGCGCCTGAGGGAACCTTTCGTCCTGTCAAAGCGCCTGCCAAGCTTCCTTCGATTGCTACAAATTGCGTGTCTACGAATGATCACGGATCCTTTCTTCCTTCCGAGCGATTGAATCCTCTCTCTCTCTCTCTCTCTCTCTCTCTCTGTCTTTCTCTCTCTCTCTCTGCTCTGCTCTCTTTCCCCTTTGGTCTCAGGCCGTCCAAGTTCTCTCATTGAATCACGTGCTGCAGAGATCACGGCTCTCGGATTGCGGCCGCTGCGTGTCGCGATGTCCACAGGCGAACACGCGAGGATGGATCGATTCGAACACCTGTAGATGGTCGACGGCTCCGTGGTCGAACGTAAGAGCAGCGCAATCGTTTGGCTGTTCGCATCCGGCCCTTCGCCCTTTGCTCCTTTCCGCGAGAACGCTCCCTTCCTGCGTTTTCGATTCATCGATCAAAGCACGACACTCGGTGCCACCACTCGCAGCCACGACGAATCATCGCGACACGTGGTGTTGTTGCGCTGTTGGGCGCTCTTTTTCTCTTTTACAAAATGGGACGCACGTTGCACAAGTCGCGACGGCTCGAGGATTTTCGTGTCCTCGATAACGCACGGAACCTTCCTAACCCTTCGCGCCCTCTCTTTTCCTTTCTCTCTCTCTCTCTCTCTCTCTCTCTCTCTCTCTCTCTCGCTCTCTCTCTCTCTCTCTCTCTCTCTCTCTCTCTCTCTCTCTCTCTCTCTCCCTTTTTCTTTCGTGAATCCCTCGAGAGTCCACCACGTACGGATGGATCTCGCCACGGCTCTTTACCTCGTCGTCATCCTCAGCGTCGACAGATATCGTTTCTTTCGTTAGCCTTAACCCACGATCTTTCTCAATGCCGCGCTCGATAGATAGATTCACGACGACGACGATCGTCGGCCCTCCACGAGAATTCCGCGATCGCTTCGCGACGCGCGGATTCGTCAGTGGAAACGAAGCGCGCGCGAGGCCGCCCGGCAGACTGAGAGAAGCAGTCGACAGTTGGCAATCGGCAGCCAGCAGCCAGCAGCCAGCAGCCAGCAGCAGCAGCAGCAGCAGCAGCAGCACAAGGCGAAACGTTTCGCCGTATGCCGAGCGAAGCTCTGTAAAAGCAACCTGCACACGCGGCCGCGCTGTGTTGTGTCGTCCCCCACTTCCCTTTTTCGAGCGCGCGATCGCAGCGGTGGCGGCGGCGGTGGCGGCGGTGGCGGCGGCGGCGGCGGCGGCGGCGGCGGCAGCGGCGGCGGCGGCGGCAGCAACGACGGCGGCGGCAGCGACGGCGGCGGCGGCGGCGACGGCGGCAACGGCGGCGGCGGCGGCGGCTGCGACGGCGGCGGCGGTGGCGGTGACGACGGCGGCGGTGGTGGTGACGATGGTGGTGGTAGTGGTAGTAGTAGTGGTAGTGATGGTGGAGATCATAATGGTAGTGGAGATGATTGTGGCGATAGAGGTGATAGTGGTGACGCGGTGGCAGCAACGGTGGCGGTGACAGCACAGCGATGGTGGCGGAGGTGGCTATCTGTCTGTATGTCTATACGCTTGCCTTCCTACATGTATGTTTGTTCGTATCCTCCTCGTACTGCTCCTCCTCATCCTTCCGCTCCTTGTCTTCTTTTTCCTTCTTCTCCTTCTCCTCCTCTTTTTCCTTCCTCCTTTCGCACCTCCTCCTTTTCTTCCTTCTCCTCCTCTTTCTCGCTCCTCCTCGTCCACCTCCTCCTCTTCCTTCTTCTTCTTCTTCTTCTTCTTCTTCTTCTTCTTCTTCTTCTTCTCCTGCTTCTTATCTTCATCCTACTTCTGTCTCGTTCACGATACCCTTTGCATTCCTCCTCTCACAGCCGTGCACTCCTCGTTCTTCCGCTTGCCTACGGGTTACAGGATCCACCTACACCTCCCTTTGGCTGCCCTTCCTTTTGTTTTATACACATCCCCCGCGCGGAAGTTTATAGCTGAGAATTTTCCGGTTTCGACGACTGTGTGCGCGCAATGTGCTGATGTTCGCTCAAGATTCGCTCGAGTCGCCCGAGGACCGCGAAACCAATGAGCCTTGCGTGTTTGTGTGTACGCGCTGACGATACGCGCTGAAACCGTATTCCTGTGCTCGTACAGCGATTCAACTTTCCGTCCAAACTCTTATTATTGCATAAGAGACAATCGTGGCGAAAGCAATATGATTAAATTTCAATGGAATGAAATGAACTAACGATCTTCCAAGTAGTGAAGAAAAAAAAAAAGGAACGATCCGTCGACTTTATATTCCAAGAAGCACTCTCTTACGCATAATTTACAGGAGGCACTTGTTCGTTTTCGTGACGGCCCACAACCACCACTCTAAATCTAAATCAGATCAGATTCTGCGAGAAGAGTCGACGCGCGCGCGAGAAATTAATACGCGATAAGAAAACATGAAACCAAGTCCAATTACACTGTAAATTCAGATGCGTGTGCGACAACTTGATCTACTCCTCCGACGAATTATATTTCCAAGCGGAATGTCAAGTAGAGCACGCGCGTTGGTGCGCGTATAGGTAGAGGTACCGAGACGTCATCCAAAAACGTAACACTCGATGGAACATCTCGTAGAAAAGTTGGTCCGATTTTTCACGACAATTCGCGCGACGTCCACACGGAATCGCAAATCTCCCCATGATGGGGAGGAGGACATGAAAACCGAGAAAGAGAGATACCGCATCGAGCTCGTACGTGGACTCGCACCGTCGAGAGACATCGAGGGGGTGGACGTTTTAAAGAGCACCGGCGACTTCCGGTCGTTTTGAAAGGTCGCGCGCGCGGCCGTCGGACACGACGAGGGTGAGAAGAGAGAGAGAGAGAGAAGGAGGAGAGAGAGAGAGAGAGAGAGAGAGAGCACGCACGGTCCGTTCTCGATCGGTCGTCGCAGAATCAGAATAATCTTGGGGCGAGACGGGCGAGTACGTGAACGCAAAAGGGTACACGTAAGGGATAAGAAGAAAACAGGGAAAAGAGGGATAAATTCGGCACGGAAGACGATACGAGATACGCACCGTTCCAGCGGCAAGGTGCAATGGTGATTGGTGGTTGCACCGCGCTGGTACGTCTCTTTTATACCGCACGGCTCGGCGCGACCCCCGACAAAGCGGTACCGCCCCCTGGGCACGTGACGATGCTGGATCTGCCACCAGGGATACTACTACTATGCGCTCCTTGCAGCGCATCCCGTCGCGACTACCGCTAGACCGCCCCACTACGGACACCCGCACCCTTCCATCCATCCTTCCTTCCTTGCACAGCGATGCACTCTAATTGATATCGTTACGTGACGACGCGCGCGCGCGCGCGCGAGCACAGACGCGACTTTGTCGTCGTGGCCGTCGCTCGCATCGTTGCGACGCGCGCGCGCGCGCCTCGTACTTGTACTATATTCCACAAAAGAATTGTCCCCGTGGAATTTTTCGGACGCCGAACGCTCGCTTGTCGATTCGCGTCGATAGACGCCTCAATGATTAACACGTGGACTGCCATTGATGGCTGCCGCCGCTTGGCTACCGCTGCGTTAACGCCTGGATGCGTTTATCGAGGAGCGCGCCGTGCGTGCGTGCGTGCGTGCGTGCGTGCGTGCGTGTGTGTGTGTATGTGGGGTCGTTGGAATTTTCGCACACGTAACAAACGGCGCGACGCGTCGCGCACGATGCAAACGCTACGCGACGCGTTCCGTTGATGATTTGCAAATCGATGGGATCGCGATCTATGCCATTAACGAGGATCGAGGCGCACTCGTCGAGCGAGTGCAACGACGACTCGAAACGAGTGAATCTAGTCTGTATATGGTCCGGCCCAAGCCGTCTGCCTACTGCGTGCAGTCAATGAACGTGATTCACTGTTCCTTGACGGAGTCTGAGGTAGACGGACGGGCGGGATAGAGCAGCCGGTATGGTCAGCGGCGTGGTAGGAGGAAAAGCGTAATACGAGACTGTTGGACCGCGACTGAGAATGGCGCGAGTACATTGGTAGGGATTGTCAACGTGTTACGCGTGTAACAGCCGAGAGAGAGAGAGAGGGGGGGGGGAGAGAAAAGGAGAGATAACGAGATCGCGAAAAGGAGGCACGGAAGGTAGACGAATAGGTGCGAGATGGAAGGACAGAACGCTTAGCGAGCGAAGCGCGACGATGCTCGAGAGGGTGAAGAAGAAAGAGAAATAGTGGTGTAGACGCGCGCGAGAAGCGTCGAGGAGGTTTTCCTTCCTCCTCCTCCTCCTCCTCCTCCTCCTCCTCCTCCTCCTCTTCCTACCATCCTATCTTGTCCTTCTCGTTCGCAAGGAGCCGCGATCCTCCTCGCCTCTGATTGCCTTCCGCGGAGCAGCAAAAACCGATCGATCGATCGCTCGGCGGATCGATCGATCTCGGCGAAGCGTCGCGCGGAGGAAACCGCGCCACTCGGGGTTGCCCGGGACTACCGACTGCAGTCTAGACTCTCTTCAATGGACGACCCGCCGGACTGAATCGTCGTTCGTTTATCAACGGCTGTCTTTGCGCGGTCTCGGCACAGTACCGCGAGAATGGGGAAACTCAATTCGCGAGCAGCAAGCGCCGGTCCGAGAGCTTTTATTCGTCGTCGTCGTCGTCGTCGTCGAAGGTCGTCATCGTCATCGTCATCGTCGTCGTCGTCGTCGTCGTCGTCGAAGGTCGTCGTCGTCTCGCGATCTCGTGATCTACCGTCTCGCACGAGACCTGCGATCACGCCATCGCGGTATTGTAATTCGTCAATCTGTCATCGGACTCATTTGTGACACATATCGCGAAGCTGTCGGGGCGTCGTCGTATCTTTGCGCGGTTCTTTCCTAAGACGAAGCGCGACGAAGCTCCATTCATACCCACGGCGGAAAGTCACGAGCCACGAATGCTATCGACGACACCGCTTCGACTCGATATGGCAAGACTCGGTCTGTGCCAATCTGTGCACGGAAGCGCAAAAACTCAACCAAACAAGTCGGAATGGGACAAAACGAATGCACGGTACGCGGCGCGGACCGCGCGGAGGTCGCCGATTTGGTCGATTTAAGGCACAGCCGAGTGAAAAAGAGAGAAATAGGTCGAGAGAGAGAGAGAGAGAGAGAGAGAGAGAGAGAGAGAGAGTGTTCGAAAATCGAGATTGCTCCAACTGGAGCCCGGAGTAATTACGCATCGTGCGACTTTGCTTTTAATACCTCGAAACGAGCAAAAACTCGGCGCGAGCAAGACGTGCGACACGCGGAGTGCATCACGAAACACGGTTATGGCATTCGCCCTCGGTGTTGGCAGTTCTCGCGTGCACCAACGAGATTGTGAGTCTTTGTCGGAATAAATTTCTCTCTTCCTCTTTTTCTTCCTCTAGTCATGGTTTTACGAATATCCCGTCCTCTCCTTCCTCTCAGAGATATCGTACGATCGCAAGAAACAAAAACTCTCGTTGACAGCGCAGAATTGTATCCACCCGGACGATGATATTCAGCTGATCGTTGATGCGTGCTTTCGTTTTCCCAGGTGAAGAAAGCAAACGTGACGCTGTTTAAACAGCATTGTCCGATATATTGTATCTACGTAAATACCGCGCGATGTCGCGTGCGCGGACGTGACGGAAACAAATTGGTCCGATCCTTCAGCGGGGAACATCATTCGACCTCCAGCATGGAGTGTGATTGATCGTTGGTCCATCGCGCGTCCGCAGCCGCATTCGATTGTCGCTGATAGATAAGCGAGCGACGTCTATGGACGTCTCGCGCGCGCGCGCGTATACGTGGCGCGCGTTAGTAGCATCTGCATTCTGAATTGGCGGCGCATAATCGCGGCGAGACTACGTCGGGCTCTCGTGAGTAACCCGAGGCGAACATTACGCTACTGCCAATAGTGTTGCGTAATTACGCGCTCTCCGGAGGGTTTGCGGCGGTTGCGTGGAATCGTGACGGTGTTGCGGAACGCGTCGTACTGTCGTTAAGCACGGGATGCGCGTCTAAGAGCGTGCCACGGCTCGGCTACTTCGGAAACTCCTACCAGCTTTGGACGTCGCGCGCGGACCGGGAGGTGGTCGAATTTGCGAGTTTCACCGCAAATTTCGCTCTCGCTCTCACCCCCGCGGTCCGTCGCGGTCGTCTTCGCAGACCGCTTATAT